GGTGGGTGTGAGGGGCCGGCGGGCTCCTACCGCCCCCGGAACGTGAAATAAACCAAAGCAGCCTCACCAGCCTGCTCCTGTTTCATGCACGCTGGCTGCCAGATCGGGTTTTGCCCTAACCATCAACTTTCCCTCATAACTGCATAATATCTCTCATATTAACAGGTGGGTTTCAGGGTAACCTGGAGAAAAAAAAAACATACAGGGGTTTTGCTCGTTATTAAAGCATAGAGGGCTGAAATCCTCTCCAGGTGGGTTTTAGCAGTGCTAACGTTTGTACTCTCTCCGGGTCAAAAAGTTGTCAGTTAACCCTCGTTTGTGCAGGGTGCGTTAATTAAAATTATCCTGGAGGAAGTGCTTGCGCTCGCTGCAGGTCATGTCACTGTTCTAAGGTATTAGAAATTACTGGGGGGGGGTTCTTATCTGTTTTAAGGACTGATGCCCAAGCTCTGAAAGAGTTGCCGTGGGGATCAGATGCGGGCGATTTCCCTGTGTGTCGTGACGGGGTGCAAATTAAGATATTCAGATGCAATGGCAAATAAGGAAATCTTGATATGAAGTCATCAGCGATGTACATGACATCCTGTGCTTCAGAACAGATCTTGGCTTCTTTTTTTCCACACCAGGGAGCAGCACAGGAGACGGTCTGGTGAGAGAGGCCTTCCAGTTTGAAGTGCTGCAGACACAGCATGAAGAGATCAAAGAGAAGGTTAGCAATCTCTTCCCCTCCCCTCTAAGTAGCAAGACCTTTTGACAGGGCGAACGGAAAGGCGGGGTAAGTTCCGTTCCAAGTATTTTATTCTAATCAAGCTGATCTTTGAAATCCATGGATCTATTGAAAGTGATACACTAGAAACAGCTCCACTATTAGTAAGAGTGAGAGAAACATTTGGTCAGTTCAGATTAGCAAATGCTAATTTGTCAGTTTTACTTGTTTCCTATCAAATTGATTCTCCTCTGTCCTGTCAGCAAGAGTTGTTTTGTGCAACTTGAAGATCTGAGAAACTTTTGAGCTGTGTTATATTACTTTGCCTCCCGGTGATCCCTTATGGAGAGCTACTGGGGGGAGGAAGTAGATGTGGAGAAGTAAGAAGGTAGAAATGCCCGTACCGTGTCCATCCTTTCTTTGGTTGACAGGTCAGGAAGAACATAAGACCTGAGCAAGTTTATGATGATAGTCTTTTAGTCTCTGGGAAAATTTAATGTAGGTACTTCCTGATCCAGAAATATTATACATGTATTTCATATTCTGTAGTGTAATTTTTAAAACGCTCGTGTATTTGGTGTTGGGTACCTTTTAGTGTGAAAGAGGTCTGCAGCTTAACCACGCATTGTGTCAGGAAATTTCTTCTTTGATTTTTCTCTTGGACTTTGCCTTTGGTATGTTCAGCGGATGGGTCTTGGCTCTTAGGAGAGGCAGTAAACAAGGAATAACTTGTGCATAGTGCTTGCATCTCGATAGACTTTTGTTTCCTCACAGTTGTGCTTTCTCCTGGATGGGAGAGTCCTACTCGTCGCCCTTACCTCCGCGCTCTGCATCTTTCCCAGTTCTACTTTATCCTTCTTTATGGGGAAGGCTCCTACCTGTACACCATGTTCAACGTGGGGGTAAACCACAATTACCATAATTTTACACAGTGGTGTAGAGGTGTCTTTCTGCTTTTTTTCTCCATGCTTTTCTGCATAACTCATTCTATTATCTCTCCAAGGTCTTGTCTCCGAGTGGTGGTGGCTGTTCAGAGAGTATTCGTGAAGACACTGCCCGGGGGTGGTAGCCTGTCCCAGGACAGCACGCTTGTTGGCTGCCGTGCTAGATGAAATACTGTAATTAAATTATCATTGTTGTCATCCAAACAATGAACAAACTATTGATGTGTGCGACTACAATACTTTTCAAACAAAGAACATAATCCCAGAGAAGGGGAAAGAGAAGAATGGTCTCTAGCAGATACCAGGATGGTACGCGAGGATGTGCCTTTGCTGTCATTTTATAATTCTGTTAGAGATAACCATAGCTGAGACTGATTTAATCAGAAAAAGATAAGAAGCAACATTGCAGAATTTCTCAACTGGGTTACAGGAGTATTTTTATCCCTAGAAATTATAAATATACCTGATTTTCAACACATAATATTATAAATACCTGCTTTTGGTTACTTACATCCTTTAACAGAATCTGTCTCTTTGCAGTTGAAAGAAATGCAGGATGAAATTCTCACTAAAAATGGAGAAATTAAAATTTTGCGTGATTCAATGCAGCAGATGGAGTATGCTATGGAGGAACAGAAAAGATCATACATGCTATTGGAACAGCAAAAATGTGAGACTTTAAGTGAAAAAGAAAAAGAGTTCTCCAAAAAGGTTTGTAAATATGTCAATTACCTGCACATCGCACACAGAAGCTAGTTTTATGATGTAACGATGTCACAGACCATCTACTCAAAAGGAAGAACATTTGTGTGACGTTTCCAAAGGATGTATGCTTTTATTTTCTTATCTAGAAGAAAGCTTTTGTAAAAACTGATTGAGGGTTTTCTTCTGCCAAAATAGACGAGTAAAATTCAGGTGGTAGAGGGTTGTGTTTACTTGCTGCCTTTTTTTTTTTTTTATTAAGCGATCATTAAAATAGGAATGTATTTTAAAATGGTAAAAAGCGACAGAATGTTGCTTTGTGACTGATCAGATTGCTATTCCTGTTGCAGTCACCTTTCTGAAAGTCCTGAAGAGGACAGGGGCTGCTTTTGTCCCGTTAACTCTGCTGTTAACGGCCTAACTGTAGGTATGCTCTGCCTGGCACGTGGTCTGGCTTAACAAGCCACTTGCTTCTTGCCTGCAATTTTGCCACTGGGTTCTAAGATAGTATTAATTGGACTAGCATACATAAAAATGGAGATCTTATGGAGAGTTCACAGTAAGTGGGTAATAACCTTGAAACCTTAACGGTAATTCTAGTTGCTCTGCAGTTACAACACCTCTAAATTATCCGCTAACAGTAAAACTGTCTTTTTAATTCCTCTTTCAGTTACTGTCATTACAGTCAGAGTTGCAGTTCAAAGATGCAGAAATGAATGAATTAAGAACCCGACTTCAGAACTGTGAAAGAAAGAAACTCGTTACTCAGACGGTTTTAACGCCAAGGTAGGAGTTTCAGGAAATGAATTTGTGTTCCTTTTAACAACATCTGTGCTTAAACTACTAAAGAGCTTTTCTTTCTTAATGTAATTCGTAGCTCTGTTGTCTTTAAAAAATCCAACCAAAAAATTCTGCTGACTTCTATGGAATTTGCTCAAAAAGAGCCTTCCTTGTGCCTATGGCAGAAAGGCAAAGAGTTTATAGTGAAGTACCTTTAAAACATCAATGTAAATCAATCCTTGTTTATTGTTTACTAAAATAGTTACAAAATAAATACTGATTCATCTAAGTGAATCAGTATTTTCATTTTCTGATTCACTGATTTTCATTTTAGCCCTAAAAAGAATTTTGCGGTACAAGTGAAATCAGAAGGATGTTCTCCACAGCCTGGAAGAAAATCTTTTCCTACAAAAGAATCCTTCAATGCTGAAATGTCCACCAGAGCATCGAGTTCTTCAGGAAATCCAATTCCCTCGACTACTTTGATCAAAGAAGGTAAACCCATATACAACTTGCTACATCTTTAGCTGCATGTTGAATGTTCTGCCTTAGATAAGGATTTTCAGTTCACTAGAGAAAAACAATATTTCTTTTATTTTGTTTTTGGTTAAATTTAATTCTGTTTTATATCATTTGGCAAAAGTATTTCTTTTATTTTTGGTTAAATTTAATTCTGTTTTATATCATTTGGCAAAAATAGCTATGACTGAAATTTGCATTGAGATCATTTTAATTGACCCCTGGGCAATGCCTGTGTACCACCTGCCAAGATGTCAACGAGGAAGCGGCTGTTGGCCACCCTAATGACAGACTTTTCATTTATTATGTGATGAACTAAAATATCCAAATTGTTAATCTGCCTTTCTCATTAGATAAAGAAAAACAGGAAATAATTTGCCTTTTTCTTGAATCGGTCTGCTAGTCAGCTAATGCATTTTTTGTATTCCTGTGGCTTTGGCTTTAAAGCTGACCTTTTAGGGGATTTTATTTTAAAGGGTTTGTATTTAACCGTATCAAAAGAAGCAACTGAAACAATGTACTTATGTCCCCTCTTAAGTGTAGGGCACTAATTCTCACTAAATTGTATCTTGAAATTTATTGAGTAAGTCTTAGGAAATGAATATATGCATGTATTTGAAGATTGCTTTAATATGAAACAAAAACAATGGACTGCTGTGTTTCCAATAGGAAATAATAAAGAATTATTATTTAATATTATTATTATAAATTATTATTATTTAAAATTAAGAATTTTGTGTTGTAGTCATGCAAATCTCTGCTAGTAGTGGGAATTCAGTTTAAGGTAGTGTTTATTTACAAAAGAAAGTTGAGAGCAATAGCACTGAGTGATCTGGAATATTTACAGTAAAGGTGAAATTTTATTCACTTTTTAAATTTATTTTGGGGAGCAATTCTGCTTGTAGCTCTTAACTATTGTTTGATATATCTGAGTTATGCAAGACATATTTTTTACTGATCTACTGTCTGTTTTCTTACTACATAACAGCAATGGCTAACTGAATGCGTGTAAAAGGATAGGTGCAGATCCACAAGCAATACAGTTTTCATATTATATTCATAATTACTGTTTGGTTTAGACAGTAAGATAACCCATCTTGAAGTTTCACCCGTGAAGCATGAAGCAGTGGGGAAAAACGGTTCCTACAACCCTGTACCCAAACGAAACGCACAAGGTAACTTCATTCTGTTACTGCAGAAAACAGCGAGCGCTTCTGAGGAAGAGCCGAGGTGCCTTCACCCGGCGCCGTCGCACTGCGACGTCCTGTGCCGCTGCGCAGAACAGCAGTGTTCAGCCGGGTCGCTGTTTGCTTTGAATGGTGTGCTTTTGCAGTAAAACATTTCCGATTATATTAGTATCTTACATCCTAACAACGTTCTTAACCTTGCTATTCTATTTAAGAAAAAAGTTTGCCTGGGTTTTGCTTTATGGAAGGGTATGGATCAAGAGGCGTCTTACTACAAGGCTCGTTCTTTCATTATTAATATATTATGCTTTTTATTGTAAAATTATATACAACAGGGAAAATGAACTTTTTTTTTTTTTTTTTTTTTTAAATGAAGGTAAAAATGATAAAGCAACACTTACAACAGCCAACACCAGGAAGTCTTCAGGGTACTGTTTTATTTCCAATTCCAAATAGAATCGCATCACATAATTAAGTGTTGAGAATGGAACACAGAGGGCAAGTCATCAGGAGAGTTGGGATATATGATTGTTTGGCTATTTTCCTAGTATGGGATTGTAATTAAAATATATCTAAATATAACTTGGTTAATACTTAAATTCTAGCTTAAATTAATTTTTCTGAAAATCATTCTCTTGTAGAGAATGTAACGAGTTGTAGAATGAATTCTCTTGTAGAGAATTGTAATGGAAAAAAATATGTTGAGTTGGAGAGTGCTATAAATAAGGCTAATCTTTTGAAATATTAATTTTTTTTCTTGATTTTGCAGTTGATGGTAAAGGTCCTCCAAAAACAACTGTGTATCTATCATTTCAGGTTCTATCTTACTAAATGCACTGATGAAGCAGCCCATTGTCCCTGGGTCATTGCTAGGACTCTGCCACCTTCTCAGCAGTAACTCTGAGCCTCTGCCTGGAGCTTTATTGCTGCCCAACTACTTCGATACGTAAGTTTTGGGTTTTTTTGTTAAACTGTATCTGACACACTCTTTGTATAGTGGCGCTCTCGACACTAAGAAACGTTCATTCACGTAGGATGGCTCACTCCTTGTGTTAAATTGCTGTTTTGCTTAGGCCATTTAATGAAAAATTTGAACATGGTTCTGCATCTTTGACTTACTAATCTTTGATTATCATAGATACTAAACAGTGGAAGAACACTAAGAGATAAACTGGGTTATTTATGTATTAGGGGAAGGCAGAGAAGCTTGTTTTGTTAAACCTGGGAGTGACTGTTAGCAGCTGCTGTTGTTAATCCCTTGAGGACATAAAATTTGGATTGCCATGAGGGAAGCATATAAACATGGTCATGACTTCAGTGGGAAGAAAAAGTTGAAAACGGGATCAAAAGAACAGTAGGCATTTTATCTGCTAAGCCTAAACTATCCTAATGTACAATTTATATGCTATTTCCCAAGATCGATTTATAGTGACTGGTAAAGCATTTTAAAGGTGAATATTGGATATAAATTCCAATGAGTTTTCACGTTAAAGAATTAGGCTGTAGCTCCAGAAATATCTTTGCTATTCTGATATGTTATTTCATTAGTACGTCTTGTGTTTTGTGGGTTCATAGCAAGGCTTGGGTCTCATCACCCTGGCCACTTATACAACTGTTTGGCCTTTGCAGCTGCAGTTTGACTAGTTAGTAGGTGAACTCTCTCTCATCTCTGGCCAAGAAAATAATTTGTTGTTGTTGTTGTTGTAGTCTTTTAAAGGCCCCTACATATTATACATCAGTAATGTACAGGTACTCGTTCTTCCCAGAAGCTACCAAATAACATTAGGGGACGATAAGAACAAGGCTCTCAAAAGCATGAAATCGGGAAGCCAGTGTTTGAAATGCAGTTTCAGACAACAGCTTATAGTGAGCTGCTGAAGTTACCCAGCTGTAAGCTCTGACTGCTTTCATGAGACCTTGGAATGCTTTGAAATTACTCTTCCGTGCAGCTATCAAGGAGTAGGGTGTGCTTTTTTTCCCAATTTACATTTTATTTTGGGAACAGACGTCTCTTATTACCTCAGCCTTTCTATTATTTGATTCAGAATAGGCATAACTCAAATCTCAAGTATGTTCTCTGCCTTTTCTCCTGAAGTAATTTCCTTCTTTTCATTTTACTTGGATAGGAAGTCCACACAATCACCCAGCAGCAGGACAACTCAAGAAGAAACCGCTCCTCTTCTATCCCTGCAAGAAGCTCAGAAACTTGCAATAACAGGCTTGAACTTGATCGCTATGGACGAAGGATTATCTGAAGGAAGCCCGACAGAGAGCCAGTTCTTGCACTTCACACGCTGCAAGATCCGAGGTGCGGTGCATCTCCTGCCCCTGGTAGAACACCACATTGGTGCATACTGTCAGGCGGCGCCATTGGCGGACAAGTCAGCAAATGGTTCTTGTGGAAACCATTCAGCTCTTCCTTCCAGAACCAGCACAAATACGGTGTCCAGTAAGGAGGACTTCAGGTTGTCTCTTGAAGAAACTACACTTATATCACTGGGTATTCTTTATTATTTGGCATTTTATAGCTGGGATGTTGTCCACACGTTGCTGTCTGCTGAAGTGGAAAAAAGTTCTGCCGCTGGAGATGAGCAGGTTTCCACAATGGACAAAAATGGGTCATGTGACAATCAGTGTGATAATAAAGAAGATACCAGGATGCACGAAGGGCTGCCTGTAGCTCCACAGGACGCTCCCAACAACAATCAAGCTCAACATTCTTTGTTTAAAAAGCTGCTTCAGGTTTTAGCTTTTTCTGCTGCAAGAGGCTCCCAGACTGACAGTATACTGAACCAAAGCCTAAAAGTTTTGGTGAAATTAGCTGAAAATTCAACAATGGACTTGCTAATGAAGTGAGTAATAGCTTTAAAATTATTTCAGAATCTGGTTTTTAGCAGTTTTCATTCTCTGTTAAAACTACTTTGTGCACATGACAATGTAAGTTTTGACATGGATGGGAGAATATCCCATTTCTCAGATCCCATTTGAGAAGCAGTTGAGGATCTTTCCTCCTGCCTTTGCTGCTAACGAACGTAATAATTGCCCACAATCACTCACAAGATTTGCTTATGAAGTTTATACGAAGCAGTTGCTGCTGCCTCATTGCATTGCTGTCCCTTGAAAGTGAGAAAACTTCTTAAGGCAGTTGATCAGAATATCTCTAACATTCATTTGGGGTTTTTTGAGATTGCTGAGAGACATGTAAGGAATGAAAGCACGGGGTCTCATTCTGGTCAGTAAAACACCACTCTCAGAAGTGAAACATTTCATCTGCTAATGGTCTGGTACACACAACCATAGTATGAATTGCAGACTGACTACCAAGTGTAACAGAGTATGTTTTTCAATATACTTCATGTTTATGACAGGTTAAGTTGAGGTCAGGTATGTTCGGAATGGCTAAAAAGGCACAAATTATGATGCTGCGTACAAGAAATAGTGTATTTTCAACTCGTCAGTGCATTTCCCATTTCTAAATCTGAGTTTTTCATTTGAAGTTTTCAGCACTTACTGAGTAGCCGGATCCTGCTCTGCTGCCTGTGCCCGGAGACCCCTTTGCCCGCTGCCCTTTTGACCGTCAGGCTGTTGTCTGTTCTTGCTCAACACCACAAGCTGGTTCCTCAACTTTGTTCTCGTTCAGGTAAAAGACTGCCTAACACAGAGAAATGTTACCAGTTGAATGTTAGCGTGACTAAAAGTAAGGGAAACAGGCCTTGCTCCAAGGTGTTAAAACCCCAAAAGGCAAAAAGCCTGCTCTGTTACCTGAAAACTCATTTTCTAGGGCAGTGTTTCAGTTATTGCTTGAAGAGTATTTTGTCTTGTGGTATCTGTCTATATACAGTGCTTTTGATACCCATGTGGATTTTTAAATGTACTTCCCAGATTAATGTCTATTATAGCAAAGGCTGATGAGGAAAAAAGGGTTTGGAAGTTTAATTTCTCTGCACTCATCACATTATCAAGTTTAAGGATCCTAGTACTCTGCACGACAAAGTCTTTGTCCAGTTCCTTATGAACAAAGTCAGACAGTACTAGCACAAACACATATATAAAGTTCAGGGATACTAATTTCTTCAGCCATGTTTGAAATGTGTGAAGCAAAGCAAAAAATTGGGCCTGTATCACAACTCCCTGTTGTGTAAATATAGCACTGTAAATATTCTCTGAAATGTCATTTTTGTGTGACAAAATTAACTTTTGTCATAAACAATTGACTGGTTGGGAAAAGAACAAATTTATCTCTGTTTCAGACACCTGCCTCCTCCTTGCACTGTATGTATATATCACATCAAGACCAGATAAATCAGCAACTGAAATGCTTTGGCTTCAGCTGGAACAGGAGGTAACCACAGCTGTTTGTCCACATGCTTTTTCCTGCTATTTCCACTTGGGGGAGTGGGAGGAGCAGGGCAATGCACATATTGTCCAAAACCAAGTCCTTTCTCCAGCTGAAATAGAACACTGGAAGAACTGGCTTGCGGAAAGGGATTACATTGATTTTTGAGAGTTCCTGCTTGAAACAGAATCAGTAACTATTCTTAAAGATAACGTCAGTCGTAACAGTCACAGCTAAGTCACTGGAAAAGCAAGAAAGATCCTAGGATGGCTGCAAATGTTCAACACTAAGCTTTATTTTGCTTTTAGATCGATAGAGGAGTAAAAGGAAGCACAATCTATGATTCATTTTGACTATATTAATTACTTTTTAAATTGTATCTTATAAGCTATTACAGATAAAAGGCAGCCTATAGTGATTTCAGATTCTATTCATTGTGTTTAGTGGAAATACTATCTTGCTGTGTCACGATTATATATAGGAAGAATAGCTTTCGAATTTAATTTGTTCAGTTTATACTGATAGTGGCAACTTGTTCAAGTTTCTGCCCTTTTGCTCCACTTCTGCTCTCATTTGAAAGAATTTTGAACCATTTTCGTTATTCCCCTACCTACATTGTTATATTAAGTGTAAACATTATTTGTATGGAGTGAATTAAGGCCCAGTGCACCTCGTTAGCCTTTCTCATCAGAAAGTTGAAAAGATTTCTGTGCAAGGCAAACTCTATGCAAAGTTTCACGAGGAAAATGCTTTAACAATTTTTGGGGGTAAAAGAGATTAACTGTTAAGAAAAAAACAAGAATGTTTGAAACTAGTAATGAAATATAATTTCTACCTCCCTTTATTTGCAGCTTAATTGTCTGGTAATTCTGCAGAACCCTAGTACTGATTATAATGCAATCTGTGTGTTTTTGTAATAGACAGTCAGGCTCCTGACCAGGTGTATGCGGTGTCCCACTCCGGCGGTTTTATTACCGGGTTCAGACTGTCAGTGTCATCTCGAGGTACGTCACTACCATGGCTGAGTTTAATCCACTGAGAACCTTAAGGTACTCAATGCTGAAATACCTTTTTGTCCTTTTTTTAGCTACAAGAAAACAGAGGTCTACTGTACTTTTAAAGGATGCCACCTTCTAGGAAGCTTGCTTTCGCTTGCTCGAAAATATTCTGAAATTTGGAAGTTGAAAGAGATTAATCAGTAAAGTTCATAATGAAATAAGTTTTCCACTACTATAATTTTGCATATTGAGGCACTTTTTTTCTATTCCAGGTGGTTAAGACGCTAATTATAATGTTACATAGACAGTGGATGAAGATCAGAAGATCTGAGACCAGCTTGTGTGCATCTAAGGAACGAATTATTCAGTTTTTACGGGATGCTGTTTTACTCTTGCACAGCCTGTCTCAGAAAGATAAACTGTTTCACGAACACTGTTTGGAAGTTCTCCATCAATACGACCAAGCCATGCCGGGCATAAGAGCCATTCTCAAAAAGACTCAAAAATTGAGTGCCTGTGAAGGTAAAACAAGTCAAATGCTAATGTTGGCTTTTTCCCCATTCTGTAGAAATAGAAATTCGATTTCTGTCCCTTTTCTCTTGGAACATCTGCCCTGTACCAAACACCATGGATGTTTGTTGCTCAGACCTCTGAAGACAGTCCATAGTCTAGTGCTCCTCAGTCTTCGTTATACTGAATCACTACTATTCTTTAATAGTTTTATCTTCTTCTGTCCAGAGATGTGCTCCTATCTGATAAAACAAAATCCTTCATTCCAGCTTTCTTCAGTAGAACAATCTGCACAATTCTGCCTTTAAAACACAAAATACTGTGCTTTTGTCCTAGCAGCTTTTCAAAGTTACTTAATAAAAAAAAGAGGTTTTAAACTTAATGAGTAGTCAGAACTAGTTGTGAAATAACAAAGTGCCCTTTACTATTTTTTCACCAACAGCTAAATTTAATTGACTGTCCAAAACAGTCTTCTCCTTTAATGCTTAAAAAGGCATTAAAGAAAAGAGGGGAAAAGTTTGTATGACGAAACGCATATCTAAAGACCTGTTTGCGTTGAACCTTGACAAAGGGTATTTGCTGTAGCCTTCTACAGTCAGTATGTTTCAGAGTGCAAAGAGGTACCAGCTATAACCATACTCCATGAGGTAGAAAAACGGCTCTCTGAAACCTGATTTTTTTGTTGTTGTTGTCATTGCAGAACTGATTTTGGATGAATTGTATCCTTCTGAGCCAGAAGCAGAAGACCAAGGGATGGACTCCAGCTAGCTAACATCTAGCAAAGATCTCTGTCCTTCCTCATCTAAATCAGAATAATCATTGCCAGTGTAAATCTGAACTCTAAAGCATCTATTTTATTAAGTGATAATCTGAAGGTTGCACTCAAATGCAGCACAACTAAGACATTTCTTTTGTTGTGATTATTTTACTTAAGCACCATCTAAATGTAGATGAAAGTAAAGAAATCTTGATGTAAGAATTATACTGCAATGTAATGTTTTGCTGTGCAAAACAACTCAATGGCTTGTTACTGGTTCTGTTTATGAATTTCATCCTTTATGACATTGCTGTGAATGGAATGGGAATTTCATGATTGTGTTCTCCATTTTACTGACTACAGCTGAATTTATGATGCTGAACATGCTGAGATGTTTGGGTTCACTGAGTTCATATGAATGTTTTTTGAACATATTTGTTTCTTTTGTGGCTGCAATACTTTCTTGCTTGACTTCCAGAATTTTCATGTTGATATTAGTAAACAATATACTGTGATTTTAAAAACCTTTCTAGAAGTAACTTAAGAGTTGGCAGTTCAGTTCTGAGCAAGAAATTCGGAGCCCTGTAAGGATCATCTGAGTTCACTCATTTTTCTCAATTTCATGGAACTGCTGAAATGCCAAAACAAAAAACACTACCTTAGAAGAGTAAGATGGTAATGCTGAGGAGAGCATTCTTAGCAGGCAAGGTAAGGATATTTAAATGTGTGCAGAATGACTGGGGTTTTGCGTAGGCGCTGCAGTGAAGATGAATGAGCATCTCATATCCAGCATACAGCACTGAAGTTTGGAGGAAGAACTTTGCTGTACCCTTTCAAGTGTAAGATCATCCCCTGAACCCTAGACCCTAAAAAGGGAAGTGTGAGCACTACTAAAAGAGCCTACAGGGTTGTATTTTTCAATAACATGGAAAGCCTTTTTCATTTTTTGACACATACTTAATAGAGAACAAGCCTGGCTCCAGGGACCAGGTGGAGGAAGAAGAGACAGTACTACAGGGGGAAGGAAGCCCTTGGAAAATTGGGAAATATCCAGTTCTCTGGTCATAACACAGAGAGGCTGTGTCCTGCACTGGTGTGCCTGTCCCTCCTCCTGGCTCTTGACTTGGCTTTGGATTTTGAAGAGAACTTTGCCAGAAACCACTAGGTAGGAATAACCATTGTAATAATCCAGCATCACTCTAGGGCCAAAGCTTCACTCCTTCCTCCCACAACACAGCCTAGGGCTGAACCGCCTCCTCTTCGAGCAGCAGCTGGCACAGCTCCACCAGTTTGTTTCTGTACAACACACACTGCCAACTGCTCCTCTCAGAAAGAGGTTTCAAGTCCTTTGTAGCATCTGGACAACTGCTGTTTTCCTGCTCAAATGCAGCAAGGAAGGACACACAGGCATGTGACAGCACATGGTAACTACCCTAGAACTACCATCAGGGCACTGGACAAGACATAGTACAGAAGTTTCAGCGTGACATAAAATCATTTGACTTGTCCTCTTAAAAAAAACAGACTACCAACAAACCAACCCACCAAAACCCACAAAACGAAACAAAAAACCTCAACCAAAACACAGCACTTCCTGGCCTTTAGGGTTAGAGACAACAGTTTGTTATTGTCAGGTAAAAGCCTTTTCCACACTCAAAACCAAAACGAACATTAAGATAATTCTTTAAAAATAGCCCTATGAGCAGTGGTGAAACAGCATCTGGCAGTTAGTGGCAAACTTGGAGCTGTTCTAACAACGATGTGATAGTCACGATATCCCCAAACGCAATGACCTGCCATCACTTTTCAACTGCTCTGCGCTGTTCTCGCCACCTAATTTCTCTAAGCATAATTGGAGTTTATAGAGATAAGGTGCTTTTAAACCCCTTCTTCAGGCGAAGAGACCAAATAAACTGTTAAAAGGAGTTTGGATGAAAACCAGTTAAGGAATCCCAAATTGCTGAAGCGATCCAGCTATAAAAACTTGATTAAAAAATTCCTGGCCTCATCTTGAGGGCGTGTGTGGCAACTTGGTAAAAGGGAGAAGTGTATATATAAAGTTGAGCAGTAATAAACACAAGTGTTATCAGTGGAAAAAAATGCTAGGAAAATACCCCTAACTGTTCCCTTCTGGCACTGCATCCCCTCCCATCCACCCACTCCAACAGACAACACCCTAACGTGTACATCTACACTCTGATTGTTTTCTTCCCACTTTTGACTTTAAGGTGGTAGAGCCCAGGCTATATATCACAGAATCACAGAATCGTAGTGGTTGGAAGGGACCTCAGAGATCATTGAGTCCAACCACAAAAAAACCACAACAAAAAAAAACAACAACAAAAAAACCCCACAAAAAAACCAAAACAAAAAAAACCCACCCACCACCTAAACACACAACAACCAAACCAAAACAATGAGCAAACAAACTCAAAACCCCACACCTTCACTGGTCAAAGTAACAGTAACATGGTATTACAAAATTAAACCATAGCTTTTAAAAATGAAGGTGCTTCCTGCAACCAAAAAGTTGACTCTCTCAAGGAAAAATAAGGCTGCACTCCTAAAGAGAAAAGGCAGACATAGGTATAATTATGGAACTGCCATAACTGTTAAGTCATTTACTGTGACCAATTGTTTGTCAGGATTATACCAAGATTGTACTGACCTTCAGGAATTCTTCCCATTCTCTTGGGATTTTTTCTTGGTATTAAAGAGATCCTATCATGTATGCAACACTGAGCATCCCCTGAAAAAAATCTGAAGAATTATTGCAGATCATGGGGCTACTGTTTTACTATCTCCACGACCTAAAAAAATAACAAAACTCAGACTGTTCTCATTAGGCACTCCCTGAAGAATTCACAGCATAGCAGCTCTTTTTTCAAGGTCAGTTTGCATTTTCCCAAAAAGCTATAGATGAGCTGTGCCTATCTATTAACTGAGAAAAGGAATTTACTCTGGCATCAAGTACAGTCACAGGATTGAATAATGAAGTATTGAGCAACAACAAAAACCACCAGTCGTGTTCTATATGTGATTATCACATTCCTCAGTCAGCAGCAGCCACCATCTTGTTTTCTTGCCCATGGGGATGGCAACTAGAGCTTCCCCTTTCCTGAAAACTGGCATTTTCCTCCTCCATGAGCTGTACTGAGCAGACACGACTAAAGCCAGGCAGGAGCTGGGTGAAGAAAGCAATCCCCTTCTCCCAGCTTACCTATTACCAGGCAACTGTGCAAAAAAGAGGACGATAGTCAGCCTTGCTGACTTGTACTTAAAATCTACTGATGCTGCCCCCCAAACAGTCGCAGCGCAGGAGGAGGCACCATTGCACTGCTAAGATCTTCCTGTGGCAACTCAATGACCTGGGGTACCACATGGGTTCAAACAGAGAGACCTTTATTTCTGCTAAAGCTATGCATGGAGATAAAGTCAATGATGCTTCATTGACTAAAATACTTCAGGAATTTGCGCAGGTAACACCTTATTTTCCACAACTCGCAGAATCATTGACTAGTTGAAGTTGGAAGAGGCCTCTGTAGGTCATCTAGTCCAGCCCCAGATTAAAGCAAACTTCCACAGACAAGACAAACTACTCTAAACATTTTTATAAACCAAGCTGTAATAGGTAAAGATGGCAAATACAAAATACCTCATCACGTAGCAGGCAACATCTGACCTGAGTTGGTTTTATTCATATTAATCTTACCAGTGTGAACTACTGCTTAAGTTGAGCCTGTGCTAGACTACTAGAACAGCAAGTTGATTTAACCATTGAATAATGTTTTTATGTTACAGTCAGTAATATCAATTATGGTCAAATGCAGCAGTTCCCATCTGCCCGTGAAGGTAATAACATGCAGACTTGCATTTACAGTGTAAATTGTTAAAAAGAAAAACTATGTATCATTGATTATTTAGCAGCCTGGTAAGAAAAGGTGGTCTGTGAGCTTTATAAAAACCGACAAACCCACTGTGGCTGAAGTTTACCAAAAAGCTTCCACGAGTGAGGGCCAACGTGTTCAGTACGAAGTTTAACTGCAAACAGCCAGCCGTGTGCCGAGCACCCTCTCCCTGTCCTGACTCCAGGGACAAAGCAACACCGGAGAGCGAGCCACGAAACGCAACTGCAGGGGCAAGAAATGTTAGAAGGAAAAGTCTCCAGTAACTGATGTAAAAGTTATTTTGACTGCAGTAAGGGAAATGGGATATCAGAGGTTAATTTATACCTATCTTGAACTGCTCTAGTGAAATGGCCAGCCAACCTGTGGGTTTGTGGGAGAAGAGGGACAGCAGGGAGACAGAGATGGCTTCGCTTCCGAACCCGCAGAGCACGCTGCGGCCCCAGGGGAACCAGAGAGGGTCCATGCTCCACCATGCCAGGCAGAGCCTCCCCGCTACCCACACTGACCAAAGTAGTTAGAACCTAAAAAAATCACTTTACAACAGAAGGACATCCTTCATAATGTGGCTAACTCACCCTTAGTGGAGATTGCCCTGAAAAGGTGAAGGAGACTGCTCTGTCAGAGAAGACTACTCCAGCAATACAGCTGCCTGAGCTCTTGAAAGGAGAAAACTTATTTTCTTTAGCATTATCTCACCTCTAACAGGTTTAACGGAGGTACTTTTTTTACCTCCTATGTGGCTCACTTAAAAGCTGCAAATGTTACCAGGTTGCTGCAATGTATAACCAGAGGGAAAAAAAAAAAGGCACCAAACCACTGGCCAAAGCAAACCTGGCAAGTTGTCATACGTGCCTAGATATGAGACTAAGTTTCCACACTTGAAAAAATAAAAAATAGGAGACAATTGCTTGTTTGGCAATAATTGCTGAAGTTTTCCCCCTCTTTGTGTCCAGCTCCTTCGTGCAACCTTGCCATGGGTTTTGAGATGCAAGCCAAGTTCTGTTCTGGAAAAATTCACACTACCATAAACAACTGGCTGATTAAAAGCTACGAAAACACAACCAGCAGTATTCCTCACCTAATCCCAGGCTCGCAGCTTTTTAGTTCAGCTGTTTGCTCCCCTATATATATATATATAGTATACATATATACTCTGCAGCAATTTTAGAGGGTGAGGGTACCTTTGAAATCCTACGTGCTCATTAAAGGAAATCTGCCCGTTTTAAACAACACGCTGGCTCCTGTTCCTCAGACCTGTGCATGTTTTAAACACGCTGGCTCCTGTTCCTCAGACCTGTGCACAGGGAGAAGGGAAGGCACATGGCTTTTTCTCCCAAGAGGAGAAAGCCCCTCTGCCCGATGCTTCTCAAATTCAGCCAAATCGCACAGACGGACCTGCTAAAAAGTCACAGGGAAAAGAAAAACAGATGAATGAAATAGTGGCAACAAACCCAGAAATAACTCTGCAATTTCCTGTTGCGACTTCTAGCCTAAACATTAATTGTATCTGTTTTCTAGATTTAGTTTTTTAGCATCACACATTTTGTCTGATGTCCCCAGTTAACTACTATAAATTGTCTTAAGAAAATGTGGAATAAAACTGGAAGTGAAATGATCTATATCTCACCTGGAACACATTATCAGCCTGCAGCTGAAACTCCAACAAATGCAAGAAGTAACAATCCAAAACTACCTGATTATTCCATAATAAACAACTCTTTCAGAACAAGTTTGGCCTTTATTTAGTGGGGTTTGGTGGAGTTTTTTTGTGTGTTGTGTTTGTGTTGTGTGTCCCCCAAATTTCTTTTATATCCTACATTAGAAACTTCAACAACTCAAAGTAATCATTATTATATGCTGAACACCCTCAAACAATTCAGTGCTACTTGGTGTCTTATAAAAAGCATTCTTGAATTGCTCAAAGAAAATATTTTCAAGTGAAAGACTAGTGAGTTAGGGGCATGAATACAACCTTCCAAAAGCATTTTTTTCCATGAACTATTGAAAATACACCAAAAAAAAATAATCAGCGAAAATGTTTGCACACAGAATAGAAAGCATCACTTACCACACACCAAATTGGTCAAGTTGATAAAAGAGGCATGATATTCACCACACGAGTCAAAATATATGTTGAGAAGATATTAAACTTTAATCAAATTATAGACTTCTTTGAAGTCTACCATCTTGCCCACACTAGCTTGGGATTTGTTACCTAATACATTCAAACTTCACCCATTTAATGTACTCCTTAGGCTAGACAAGACCTGAGAAGCAATCCTTTTAGCCTAGCTCTGAAGCACACTGTCAGAACATCATCAGGAGCTTACACTGTCCTCGCTTTATGCTGTTACCCATAATTTTGATTAAGCTTCAGTCTCCACTGCCCAAAGTGATATTCATGATACAGAGTGACTGAAAGCACGCTTGGCTGTCAAACACAATGAAATAAAATATAGCTTTGCAGATACAGTCCTAAATAATACTCAAATTGAGGATAAGAAAACAAAATTGATAGAACATACTTCAAACACTGCATTTATTACAAAGGTGCATAGAGTTTATGCCATTTCTTTAGAACACTTACATGTAAACTACAAACACCATACAAAGCTAGGTTACAGTAGGTAATAAAGTCAACAATGATTATCTAGTAAATTCAATACAACAGAATAGTCTACTGTGTTTAATTTCACAAAACATGTTTGAAACAAAGGCACTTACAGAATTACCAAAGTGAACATATACTCTTTCAACATTTAGTATTTTAATTCCATTCCCCCTCTCCTACGGCACCACAGGTAACTAGTTTGACGCGAAGGCAAAAGCTACTTGGACTGACACAGCAGCAGCGCTTTAACTAGAAGTTTATGGATCAACCTCTCCATCTTTTCTGTAACCATCCCATTCTCTTAACTATATGAAAACAAGTTTCAACGGGCTGCATGGGGACAATTGAATAAAATTTGGTCCTATTCCTTATTGCTAATGATGATTAATACACTAACAATAAGAAATGTGATTAAGTGCTTCAATTATGAAGTGAGGTAAGTTGATCCTTTTCTTTCAACGAGTTCTGTAACTGGAGTAGTAATACTACTAAAGAAACTCCTTTTGTATTAATGATTGATCTCTTCACTTGCATGCAGTTATCATTAGCATATGTTCACTGAGGGAAAGGTGTATGTTTTCAGGCTCCTTAACCCTACCCCTCATCTCCTCCCACCATACCGTGGTGTTCATGGCAATTTATTTGGTCTGTACAACATCTACACCAAAACTTCAGATTTGGCCACCTCCATTACTGTTGCCACTTTACTCTCCTACTACCTTCTCCTTAGGCACTACCCCTCATCTCCTCCCACCATACCGTGGTGTTCATGGCAATTTATTTGGTCTGTACAACATCTACACCAAAACTTCAGATTTGGCCACCTCCATTACTGTTGCCACTTTACTCTCCTACTACCTTCTCCTTAGGCAGGTGACTGAGCCCACATCTCATGAAATTGCAACTGACGGCGGGTGACTGAGCCCACATCTCATGAAATTGCAGGTTTTCCTCTCATAACTAACCTTGCCAGGAACCATACACTTTGTTTCACCAGATGGAGGAAAGGGAGAGCGTTGCAGAGCAACAACCCCATGAAGCCCAACACCAGGACACTGTCCCTGTGCCCTGAGAGCTGCAGGGCAGCTGTGCTCGCCACTGACTCCAGGCAGGTGGCTAACGAAGGTGCTGGAATAGCCTCTGCCCTCCTTCTGTAAGAATAAACGCAGAGGGGTAGGATCTATAGCAAGGGAATTATTTCTGCGGTTACTCAGTGCCCTCCCACACATAAAAAAAATTTCCAGATTTCTAGGGAAACTCTTCAGCATCCATACAGGAGACACTGTCCATTTTTGGTCGTTCTCACATAAGTCCTACAAGTGTAACGAAGCATTGCCCAATTTCTGGGCTTCCAAGGCAGGAAAGAGGAGGAACACACAGATACAGGGCGTGCATGCTCTGTGAGTGCTTCTTGGCATCAATTCATGCTATTAACTTCAAAACTCTAATAAGAGAGGTGTAACAGAAGGGTATAGGCAGTAATGAATCCTAATGCTAAAATCTTTTTATAAGTTTCTTCTGAAATGCCCTGAAGACTTTCTTAAAAAAAATACTTAGAATAACCCAGAAATAAACTCAAAATTCAGGAAGAAAAATAAGGCTGGCTTTGACAGCAGCAGTTTCCATCTGTATGAGGTAAAACAATGCCACCATCAATGTTTTCAAACAGTAATACACTCTAAATAAAAATCACAGGACAAATTGCTTAATGGCCTCTTTAAAAAAGTAAAATCAGTGTATGAGATATGTCAAAATTATTTTGCTAATTATATCACAGTGATACATAGAACAGACTAGATAGTTCCACTGAGGAGTAACAAATTTTATTTCCATGCTAGAAAAGATAAAATTGTACAGGACACTAAAAAAGAAAAAAAAAAAAAACATGAAAACACATTACCCCTCTATGACCAAATCCTACCACTCCTTTCCCTGACTTCTTGTTCTGTGCTCAGCTTTATGGGAGTGCTGAAGACAAAAGGGAGGTTAATCTCTACTGTGTGTTGGGTTGGGATTTCTTAACCCCCTCCCGTATGTTATTCTTCAAATGCAGACTGAGTTTATAAAGATCTGTCATCCCCAGGTTCCTGCTGTTTACGGCTCCCAGTAGAGATAGACAGTGATAAACCCCAATCTACTTGATATCCCATCTCTCCTGTAAAATAAATTCCCTGCCCATGATGAGGCAGGACTGAACACTGGCAGGTACTTCTGCTTAGCATCTCAGTAAGGTGCCAATTTTCCTTCCAAACATAATCAACAAGATATGACTTAAGTAAGCTTGTCCAACAAATATTTGTCTAATAGTTTTTATGAAGAATTCTCCGATTTTCAGCTTTTGATTTATTTGTTCTATGAAGTGGCAGAGAGTTTGGTTTTGTTGTTAGTTTCCAGCTATAAATTAAGATGGCCTGGGAAAACACCCAAAGAAGGCACAGTTCTTAAGCCTTAAAATTGGGAAAGAAAACAAGGAAATGATGAACTCATACTATTTAGCACAGAAAAATGTAACTTCTCCAAACACAATTAAAGGTGGTTTGCTACGCTCTACTGAAGGCAAATGTGTTTAAAAAAAGGAAAATTCCCTTTGGAATGGTAAATGAAATGTATTGCATTGTAGTTTACCTACAATAATAATAGTAGCTCCGAAACATGCAGAACATACATAACATATATCAGGTAGTTTCTTGGAGATTAAGCTTTTATGTTTTAATACTGTGCAAAAGATTGCTACAGCTTTGGGTGTTTGACAATGCTCATATTCCTTTCAAAAGTATTGCACAACAAATGTTATTGTGGTTCTTATTTCCAAAGTATTCCTTCTTCATGCTTTTCTCATTGTATATAGAAATAAAATATCTCTTTTTGGATTTGATTGAGGTATAAATTAACAACTGCAAGAAAATACTTCTTCCTTGTACTCAAAGATTTAAAAAAAAAAAAAAGATAATGAATTAACTTTCACTTTGCTTGGACAAAAGTTTGCTATCTTCCAGAAAAATATACTATACTTGCACAGTGTAAACAGCACAAATTATACTTTAAAAAGTTTTGTATGCAGAAACATAGTAGAAGATCTTTTCAATAGGTGGGCTTCTGAGGATCCACATAAGCAGGGTTGTATGGGGGCTGGCTGACTGGGTAAGGTGCTCCAGCACCAGCTGCAAAAGCAAAACACAAGAAAAAAAAAAAGGTTTGTACAGTTTACATACTGAATTCTACATCTATATTGGCAACTTCTGTTTTGAGCACATAATTAAGAGGTTCAACTTGTCTGGCATCTTAACTGTACTTGAGATCAGTTTGTTCTAGCTCATAAGGTATCCACATTTCAGAAGTAAGATTACAAAGACTTTTGATCTTGTGGGGATTTTTTGATGCTTGAGTGTACATGAGTATTGTGGTAGCCACAAGCCTTAAAGTTTAAAAAAAAAAAAAGGAATGGATCTGGTCCAAACAAGCAGCCAGTGGAAGTCAGAGATGAACAAGACAACAGGATATACCTGATTGTATGTCAAAAAGTGAAAATAAAACCACTGGGCAAGAGGACTTGAGAAAGCATTTTAGGATTCCTTCGGGAAGAATGCTTTCCTGGTCAAGTGTCACACAGATAACTTAAAAATAAAAGAGAAAAAAATGTCCCACCACTACCGAGAACATTAAAGAGTTTTACATATATACTAAATGCATATCAGTCGGAAGAATACCCTTATTCCTAGTACTCTGAGACAAGCTGCTTTCAAGTGGCTTCTTCCAAGTTCAGGTCTGCCGAGGAGCGTGAGTTAGTTCAAATAACACAGCACCTGATCAGATCCCTGAAGGCACAAGTGTGGTTATCGTTCCCTGATCTTGTAAAGTGAGTGGGTTCGGCTCCCGGGTGACAGAGCAGGCATTCTCCCCCTTACACGAGCTAAATAAGAGACTGCACCTTGGTTTGGTTAACAGACAATAGAAATAAAGTAAAGAGCTCTCATTTTGAGGTTTTTCTTAGCTGGGAACATAGAAAGTGCTTCAAGATCTTCCCAGAGAAAAAGTATTTTAATAACTAACAAACCAGCAACAGTTTGAGAAACCAGAGTGTAGGAGAAGCAAAACAACCAGTTTATTGGCTCCCTCACGTGATAAAGATGAAAACAAAGAACTTTGGGGTAATCCCATAAAGCCCACAGCTTCTTCAGAGATAACAATACAAAAATAAAGTGAAGAGGGCCTGCCAAGTCAGTGTTTTTACATGCAGGGCTGTTTTGCACATTGTTAATGTGCAACTTCTAACTGATTTGCAAATGCTTAAGACCATGAACAATCATTTTATATTTGAGTTGTCACAAGAGAGTTACTTTCTAAGGGCATTTCCTGCTATTCAGGACTGTACTTTGCTTGTTACTTAAAAGGATGAACAGTGTGGTTTGTAAGAGAGCTTGAAGATCCTAGGACAGCTAACAGTCTAGTTTTGGCCTCTCTGAAGAGCCAGGAGCCAATTGTTCAGAGAACAGTTATTACCAGCAGAAGTGGGAATTAGTAGTAACAACACCAAAGGTGCATGAAAACAATGCTGTGAAAGGACAGCAGAAGAAAAAAAAGATTGTGATAATTGGAACTGCTGGTCTTTGGCAAACTTGTCTGAAGTTGATCAGAGGCTTGTTATTCTATAAACAGCAATGAATTACTAGAAAATGCCATCTGTGTATACATTAAAACATCTAGCAAATACTAGATCAGAAAGAGCACGCACACTCAATTACTATACATATGTTAATTGGACTTTGATTTTAATATGAAATTTCAACTGAATTAGTAAAAAATTCTACTGGATCCACCGATAGTCCCACATACCACCAAACTTTGTCAATACAGTTCCAGTTAACACCTCCTCTTGCAATACTTAACATAGAAATGGTGATAGGGAAACTTCAGTAAGAGTGAATTACAGCATCCACCACCACTTGAATTTTACATAAGTTGTTTACATTTACATTAATATAGTCACAGAAAATATTAAATGTAAGTAATATGAGATTGATTCCACCCCCACTGTGTCTTTAGCTATTTAAGAGATGAAGAAACACTCAGCATTGCCTTACCTGCCACCGTTTCATGATAAGCTGGGGGTCCTGATGGCTGCATGGGGTAAGGGGGGGGATACTGTACAGGGTATGGTGCTACCGGCATCCCCGGTTGTGGCTGGATAGCCACAGGCTGATATCCTTGATACGGGGCTACTGGGTAGTTGGGTGGCACTCCTTGTTGTTGGGGATAGGGAGAGTGAACCACTGTAGTGGAAGTGGTGGTCACAACAGCTATAAACAAGCAAAAGGAATGTGGTTAGTGCTGGTGGTTCTAGGAGATCACCTGGGACAGCCAACAACAGCAGTGTAAAAAACATTCTCTCTTAAGATCAGTTTCTCACTTCAAAATCTGGGTAATTTCACTTCCGAAGTTCCACAAAAGATTTAGAAATGCATGCCTCAAAATATCCTTCCATTGATCTCAGTGGTAATGAGAGCCTTCATGTACTGGGACAGCAGCCAACTTATCTCCTTGTTGCTCAACCACAAAGAACAAAGAATTTTTTTCTCAGACTCTTCAAAATCCAGGAACTCAGTCCTGCAGCCAAGTTATCTATCATTCAGTATGAGACTGGAAAACCTGCAAATTTCTAAATGTGATCTGTTTTTAAGGATTAAGGTGATAAAGATCTCCTTTATTAGGTAAGGAGCTTCCTACCATGATTGCTCAAAAGAGTTTCCTTTTGTACATTGTCTACACACTAATACACTGACATGTTAACACATCTTTCTCCAAATAATGTGTATTTGGCTGACTGTTAAGTCATTGATTTTTGTAGGAGCTAATGTTGGATCATTGCTTCCTCTCTCTTACTGGAATATGGGATTAACACCACTTCCTAATAAACTGCAATAATCTGTTTTCAAAATTTCCTTCCTCTTTATGCTACTATTATAGGCTTTGTTTAAGATTGCACTGTTGCAGTCCTGGGCATTTGGTGTATTTTTCGGGTATATTTTTAAAAGACAGGTAAAAAAAATCATTCTATCCCCTGCTTACCTAAATAAACCAAACCAAACAAAAACTCCAAACCAAACAAAAAACCCCACACCACAACCCCCAAAAAATCCCTAAATCCACACATGGGGTGTGGTGGGGAAAGAGAACTTCTAAATGCTTAGAAAATATTCCAAAACATCTCCCTGCAACTTCACATTCTGAAACAGCTTAAATGTTTGTTTTTAATGTTTACATATTGCAACTTTTGTAGCAGAGAGGTAAGGCAAGATTATTTTCACCTTTTATAGGGAAAAAATTTTTCAAGGGGAAAAAAAAATATATAAAATAAAGTCATGTTCAGAGATGTGAAAAAGAAAATAAATATACAGGTACTTACGCCTTGGTCTTCGACATGCTTTATACAAACAGCAACAGGAACAGGTGAGGCATAGAATAATAGTAATTATAATCACTGCACAAACAGTAACTCCAATCGCAACAAGGGTTCCAAAACTGCAAGAAAGATACCACCAGAAGTAGTAAGAGTATTTTCACGCAGATTTATTACTTTTCAACCTAAGGTTCTGTAGCAAACACACTGTTCCTCCTCTAATCTGTTACTCTTATTGCTTCATGCATTTGAATAAGAAATGGGAAGATTTGGCCAGTGGAAGCCGATCAACCCCCATCACAGAACACGCTCCCCTGTACATGGAAAGGGCCCAATGCGAGTGTTTGGCCCCTCTCATTTTAGTGTAACTGTGATTCTTGATACTTTAGTGCAACTGTGTGTCCCTATTATGTATTCCAAAAGGTTTCAGTGATAAGGTTACAAAATCACTGGGTTGATGACTTAATTTTCCAAGCATTACTTCGGCTGCTCTGAACACCCAGGTAGGCACGTCAGAACCAGATAACCCCAGACTTTGGGGTGACAGCAAGTTTTTCCCACATTCGTAAGATCTCCCAGGCCCAATCTCAGTACCAAGCAGACTTCTCCATACTGGAAATTCTTGACAGGTTCCTTGGCATTTATGAACAGTTGTTTCAGAAGCCACATTTCACATGGTTTGGAAGATCTGAAATTCTGCCAACTTTACTGCAATGGCAAGTACGTTGTGCTATGTCATGGGAGACAGAAACACTGCCTAAACCACCAAAATCTAGCATGGGAAGGCCAAATATTACACCAGCTTTACCTCTGTGACATGTACCAAATGATGGAGTCAGGGGTAAAGCTTCCAGAAACAACTGTATATAAGTTCTGTTTACCACACAGGGAAGAAAAAGTAACACTGTAAAGCATTAAATGCCCTTGTCACAATTCCCTTTTAAGTGTTAATTCACATGATTTGCTTCCTACTGTCTGAAATGAATAAAGCCCTTCTTCCACAGAAGCCAAAGTCTCCAGCATTTTTATTTCTTAAAAGAATGCAACATGTATCAGTTTGGGGAACAATTGCAGGAAGTCAGTTTTAATGGACAACAGGCTCAAAAATACTGAGTAGAGAGCTGGTTTTACATCCATCCTGTTTTTGCTTCTTTGGAGAGATTTTGGCTACAGAACTCTAGCTTTTTTCCTGCTCAATTTCCTGTTAACAGCTTTAAGTGAAATGACACATCTCCAGAACCTCCATCGATTTTCGCTTGGCTACCAAACAGCCATCAGATGTGAAAAATGTTTTTGACTATCAATGAAACGACACTGGAAGTTTAAATCACTGATGGGTTTTTTAAAAAAAACAAAAAAAAACCAAAAAAACACAAAGCACTCTCTTCCTAGCCCAAATTTGGAATACCTCACCTCAGTCTTCTAGAGCAACTTAGCCCCTCAGTAAGCTGGATGCTGAACATACGCATTCACAAATAAAACAGGTTCAATTTAAAACACATTTTTCCGTTCCAAAGAGAGGTTCCATCAATTTTATTCTGTTTCTGCAACAGCTATAAGAAAAAAGCTTGGATCAAATCTCTTTCAAGAATCTGAACAACAATTTTATCTTTCTGTATCTAACTTGTGCACTGATTTTGCAAAGTACTAAATATAACACTACAGATTTTCTCCTCAAGTACTAAATCTAACACCGCAGACTGCCTATGTGGTCACTGCACCTAAGCATTTCCACAGGAAACGGCGCGCAGCGGCTGCTGCAGCCTCCTGGAGTCACAGAAGCCGTGTCAGACACACCGCCAGGAAAGCAAACCCATGATTGCAACACAGCTGCAAAATGTAAAGACGCATGCATGCTTTGTCACATTCATTTGCACCTTTACAGAATGTTTTTCACATGCTGACTTGCACATGCAAGTGCTTTCCTAACCACGCCGCTTTTAAGTGCTCCCCCATCCTTCTCCTGAGCATTAGTTTCACTTCAGCACAGTAAGTTCACAGCTCGTCTCCACCCAAAAAATCCCATTTCTTTCAAGCCTGCTATAAAAAGAAAAATATAAATGCAGTTTTGGGGAGGATGAGGGATGGGAAGAAAGAAAAAAAAGGAAGATAAACGTGCACAACGACACCACATCCTGAAACACAGGCTGCCTCCTGTCCTTGAGGCCAACAGCAAACTATATCAAGTTAGAAAACACAAGTTGAATACTTGCGTATGTGGAAATACATTAGATTTAAGAGCAACCTGTGGATTTAGATTAATTATACTGGGTCTTTACTGTACACTTGTAATATAAATTCATATATACACTGGAGAAGAAAAAGAGAGAAGTCTGCACAATGGATTCATACATTAGACTTGACCGTCTGATTGCAACATTCACAAGAAACAGCATGAATGACTGGGACAAACTATGGACACCTCTAGAATGGCATGACAACAAATGTTAACTACAATTACTGCTACTTGTGGAGTCCCATTGGTATTTTCCTTGCTCTCGTTCTCACTTCTGTATCAACCCTGAGAAACCTCTCTCACTAGGGAAGTTAACATTTCCATTGCACACAATTACTGCCAAACAATATTAGCAGAGATAACAAAGGAAAAGAGTCTTCTGGAAGAGTTCTTCCTGGGGCTTTTTCCCCACTAAAGAAGGAAAAAGGTTTTTTGCTAGTGAACTATGCCAAGGAAAGGAATTCTTGTGTCAAGGAAAGAGATCAGGCCTGACAAAGATAACTAGAATTCTTCACTTCTACATGACAATGAACTTCTTCGAACTTTAGCAAAGGCTGGGCAAAATCAAACACAGCTAACCAGCACAGCAGGAAACTGGCAGAGAGCCCTTATCTTTCACGACCAAATTCAGTTCAGATATGGCAAGAGAGAAAACAGCACAACCCGATCTGCAGCCAAGCTGGCCACCAACAGATAAACACCGGGCAGTTTGAAGCATGGGCTCCACTTGCTTATTTGTAATAAAGTTTTCTGCTCACTGAAGCACATACCTCATTGCATATTTACTAGCTCTAATAAGGAAAGTGACACAAGCAAAGCTCAGGCAAAAAACCCCACCACATCCTTATTTTCACCCAGCTGAGACAAACACTGCATCTTCATCATTTGTCTGTGTTTTTGCTAAAATGACACAACCATGATGATGTTTTGCATACAACTTTTAAAGAGCTAAATGGAGACATGTATTTTAAGTATAGGTGTGTCAGGCATACACACTTTAAAGTGTGGTTCTGTGTGTGTGTGTCTGTGTAAACACTGTGATTCAGTTCTACCCACTGAAGTATCATGTCGTTACTACAGACCAAAATTATAAGCCTTCAGAAACAGCCCAGTGAGTGAAACAACAGACAGGAGTTCTACACAGAGGTTTTTTTTAAGGACTGTACGCAACTGAATTACTGCGGGCATTTTTATCACCTATTTTACAGCAGAAGCTTAATTCTCCTGCCAGTGCTTGGGATCGTGCACAACTAATGTCTTGAAAGAGCAGAAGGTAGCGGGACACTTAGAGAAAACAAAACAGCATGTGCTATCAACTTGCAATGTGCTGCAACAACACCCTCTTTACACAGCAGAGCTCTTCAAAAATACTGGTTTTCTAACAATTTCTATTGATAATCAAAACTAGCAACACTCTTTTGGAATATCTGAATGGTCAGGTGCTACCTTACTGAAATAACGTCTGTCTTTTTCATGCCCAAGGAGTACTGCCCTGAAGCACTCCTCTTCTGAATGTTCAGTAATTGTAGAATCATAGAATGGTTTGGGTTGGAAGGGACCTTAAAGACCATCAAGTTCCAACCCCCCTGCCCTGGGCAGGGACACCTCCACAAGACCAGATTGCTCAAAGCCCTATCCAACCTGGCCTTGAACCCCTCCTGAGATGGAGCATCTACAGCTTCTCTGGGCTTCATGTTCCAGTGTCTCACCACCCTCACAGTAAAGGATTTCTTTCTAGTGTCTAATCTAAATTTCTCCTCTTTCAGTTTAAAACCATTATTCCCCATCACTTCACTCCCTGATCAAGAGTCCCTCCCCATCTTTCCCGTAGTCCTGTAAGGACTGGAAAGGACTCTAAGAGCCTTCTCTTCTCCAGCCTGAACACCTCAACTCTCTCAGCCTGTCCTCACAGTAGAGCCCTCCAGCCCTCGTAGCATCTCTGTGGTCTCTTCTGGACTTGCTCCAACAGGTCCACGTCCTTCTGATGTTGGGGTCCCAGAGCTGGACACAGTACTCCAGGTGGGGTCTCACCAGAGCAAAGGGGCAGAATCACCTCCTGTGACCTGCTAGCCACGCTTCTTTTGATGCAGCCCAGGATGTGGTTGGCTTTCTGGGCTGCCAGCGCACACTGCCAGCTCATGTTGAGCTTCTCATCAACCAAGACCCCCAACTCCTTCTCCCCAGGGCTGCTCTAAATCCAATCTCTGCCCAGCCTGTATTTGTGCTTGGGATTGCCCCAACCCAGGTGCGGGACCTTGCACATGAAAATGAAAAAGAACAGACATGAGAGATTGTAGCTTAAAGATTCTTCCACTGAATGGTTAATCAAGAAAAAAAAATAATCAAACAGAAACCAAACAAGAAACCCACACCTTACCCCCTGCATTCTGCAAACAAACGTCAGAGCACAGAAGTCAGGGTGGCCACAGCGCCCATCAGAACACTCTGCTGGCGTCACAGTTTGAGCATGGGTTTCCAGACTCCCACATTATAGATACCATAGTCTCTAAATAAAGCACACACTGTTATAAACAGCTTGAGCTCATTCACTGCCATTTCCTGCTTCTTTCTCTTCACATAAAAGCTAACTTTTGCCAATAATTTAATAGAAAACAAAATAGAGAACAAAACCAAACCTAACAGCAATTTTACTGCTGCAATGTTAAATTCCAACTTCTCATAAAATCCACAGGAAAGTAAGTATGAAGGGACGACTCCCTGTCCCTTTCCTACCACCACCTCTCTCCTTCCTCACCCTACTCCTATTCTACTCATGTTCTCTCACCTTTGGAAAGCATTAAATTGCTTAAGTAATGAGCATACCTCACCGACCCACCTTACCTTTAAAGTTTTCTAATTACTCAAAGCATGTATCAGTTCACATAA